GCAGGCGGGGAACGTTGGAGTCCTCCGTCACTGAAGGAAGCAAGCCTCCCTTTCGCTTCCAGCTGCCTGGCTGCCGGCCGCCATCTTGGCTGGCAGTTAATTTGCATATCGCCCTGATTAGCCAATGGGAAGGGTAGTGGTCGTACGCTAATTACCATGTTTCTCTTTTATTAGATAGGATTTTTGTTGGAACAGTTATATCCAATTATTATATTATCTTTTCTATAGAAAACTTCACACTGATATAGTTGAGCAACTGGCTCTAAGATCATCCAGCCACCAGAGCTTAAACATTTATTCTCTGGCCACTTACAAAACTTTGCTGACCTCTGCATTAGATTAATGCAGCGGTTCTCAACCTGTGGGTCCCAACCCCTTTGGGGGTCAAATGACCCTTTCACAGGGGTCGCCTAAAACCATTGGAAAACACATATATAATTACATATTGTTTTTGTGCTTAATCACTATGCTTTAATTATGTTCAATTTGTAACAATGAAATTCGGGAACAACATGTGGAACTGTATTAAGGGTCGTGGCATTAGGAAGGTTGAGAACCACTGGATTAAAGCCTTCCATGCAATAGACACAAATATTTGTTGAAAAACAGTGTTTCCTCTTGAAGGCAATAATTGGCTCAATTCCAAATTAAAGTAGATTCTCCAAGGAAGAGCTTTCAAGTTATGGACTCCTATACAATGGACTCCTCTTTTATACTCAGTAGAGTTAGATTTAAAATATCTTCTTGTAGCCAGCCTGGTGTCACTCAGTGGTTGAGTATTGACTTATGAACCAGGAGGTCATGGTTCGATTCCGGTCAGGGCACATGCCCAGGTTATGGGCTCAATGTCCAGTGTGGGGCTTGCAGGAGGCAGCTGATCACTCATTCTCTCCCATCATTGATGTTTCTATCCCTCTCTTCCTCTCCCTTTCTGAAATCAATAAAAAAATATTTTTTTAAAAGGAAAGCTTATTATAAAAGAAAAATAAGGTTCTTGGTGAGAAAAGGGGCCACATTCTTGAATCAGGCCTTCATTGATCTGCATTTTTGCCAGGCACTGGGTTTGGGCTTAAGTCTAGTGTCAGCATTCTCTGGGAAGCTCTGAGACCTTCGGTGAGTGGTTTTGAATCCAACACTGTATCTGACCCTGGAAAGAGACAAAGTTACTACCTGTGGTCTAGTCCACCTTCCAGCCAATATATAAAGTGTCTGTGTGATCTTATCTATGCTAGTGGGTGTGAGTTAATCCTCATTTAGGGTGCAGGTCTCTTTGGAGGTTAACCTCAAGACCGAAATGAATGCCATGTATTAATTAATATCTTTTTAACTTTCTGGGCCTAGAAACTATTTATTAATTTAGTCATTCACCGCTGAGAGGACAAAGACAGGTCCAGGCTCTAGAGATTTTCCCCACCTCCGCGATATTGAAGAAGATACATAAATCTGATATGCGTGGTTGGTCTTCTCAGAGTGCTTCGGTGTTAATCTTGGGTATCCTTTATCCCCTCTGAACCTCCTCGTATATATTCTTGCAATACAGCTATCTCTGTTTTCTTTGGCTTTTCTTCAAGCCCTCCCCTGTAAGGATCTCATTAACCAAGGACAGGATGTCATAGTTCAGGGCAAATTAGTGACCACTTTTGCTTGGGGACATTCTCTGGTTGGTTATTTTGATGTAAAGGCCCAGCACAAAGCTCTTGTTCCCTGCTGCTTGATTAACCCTTGCTTTCATGTTGATTTCTAGCTCCAACCACAGTTCCAACACCACCTAAGGTCTTCAGCTCTGCTCCTAGCACTCCAGCGACCACGCAGAACCTTAAGACAGGTAAGGCCATTTGTTTCTGAGGCCAGAGGCCTTCTAGTACGAGGGTGGAAACCACCCAGGGCATGTGTTAAAACGTACAATTCAGGGTAAGGGTTCTTAGGTGGCTCCAAGCGAGGGTTTCATAGCATCTGTGAACTCCAGTCTCATAGCCAGATTTTGTAACTATAAGTATTTTCAAAATAGGAAAACTCACTTTTTTTCCTAAAATCATTATTGTTGAAAGTATTAAGATATTCCCTTTTGTTCCCCCATTGACCCCTTCCAGCCTGCATTCGCTCCCCTCCCCACCCTATGCCTTTCAGAAGGTTTGCTGACCTGTGATTTAGACTAATGCCTTGCATATAATAAACACTGACAAATATTTGTTGATTTATGTTTCTTGCACATCATAGCAAAGATTGGCTTGATTCCAAATTAAACTGTATCTCTCCTAAGAGTTTTAAACCATTGGCCTCCTGTGCAAAGGTTCTCTTTCTTCTAGTTATTCGAGTTGAGATTTTAGGAAGCTCCTAGTGGGATACAAAGATGCCTGATGAGGAAAAAGTACACATTGTTGATCAGTATTCATTGATGACGTTTTGTGCCAGGCACTGTGTTTGTGCTTACTTCCACTGCCATCTCTCTCTCTGGGTAGCTCTGAGACCTTCTGTAACTGCTTTGAAATCTTAAATCTGCTATGTCATGGAAAGAGCCCAAGTTATTACCTTTTTCATCTCTTAGTTGGGAAGGAATCATTGGTGGTCTAATTCACCTTTCAACCAAGTGTATAATGTATAAATGGTCTGTGTGATCTAGCATATACTTGTGGTGTGAGTTAATTTAGGTGCCGGGCTCCTGGGAGGGTATCCTCAGGACTGACTGAAATGAATGCAATTTATTGGGTAAACATTCTGGGCCTGGAACTACTGTTTAAATCTTAGTCATTCACCACAGAGAGGACAAAGTCAGTTCTTGGCCCTGGACACTTTCCCCACCTCACCAATGTGTAGAAGGATATGTAAATCTGATATGCATGGCTGGTGTCTTCAGAGTGCTTCCGTGCATAATCCGAGCAACCTTTTTCACATCTGAAGCTCCTGGAATCTATACTTTTCAATGCAGCTGTTTCTTTTTTGAAGGCTGGTCCTCAATCCCAGCCCGGTCAGATTCTAGTCATGGTCTACCAGGAACCTGGCCGAGGGTTGTAAATCATTACCAAGTTGAGAGATTGGGCAATGCAGTCACCTTGAAGAAACTTCAAGGCATTAAATATTGTGAGGGTGTATCCCGTGCCGGTACATATGTGCATCTCTCTGGAAAGATGTGTGGGTGGATAATCATGAACTTAAATGTCAGAAAATCCAGATTGGGGTTTTTGTGAAAAATGGGACAACAGAGTAGTGTTTTTCCCCAGGCCCTGTTCTATGAACATGAAATGTCATTTGTATGGATAAAAGCTTAATCGGGTGTCTTGCATACGATGCACTGTCATAGGCATTAAGCATTTAGAGAGATCTTAAGAGTATGAAAAGTGTGAAATAATTCTGTCTATAGATAACTATCTAAAACATTATCTATATCAGATTTACTCCTGATAATAAAATACCTAGATAGAAGTGTAATGCCTCAATGTTATCTTTGAATAAATTTCTAAGAAACAGTTGAAGGTAATTCTCAATTTTAGGTTTGTTGCCAATTTTTGTTGGTGTTGGAGATTTTTCTCTACAAATAGAACAGAGCTCTTGCATCCCTTTTATTTCAGAAACCACTTCATCTTCTCCAGTGCAGACAACAGAAACCCCGCCTATTACACCACAGGAAACAAGTACGACCAGCTCATCGTTGAACTCTTCTCGTCCAACAGGTAACTTAATTTTATTTCCTGAAAACCTACATTCAAAATTTGAAAGTCTTTGACTTGTAGTTAAGAGCACATATTGCCACAGTAGCCCCTCTAATCTGCTATGTGACTGAAACAAATGTCTTACCCTCTCTGAATCTGTTTTCTTCATTTCTAAATGGATGGAACATCACTGATCATGCAGAATCCTTGTGAGGATTAAATGGGATGAAGAGCTTAGGACATAGGTATAGGGGGGTAAGTGATAGATACAATAGCAACTATGACTATTACGTAGATGTCCAGAGTACATACCGGTGGCACTTTTAACCTGGTTCCATGATTGACCTCTGTGCTCCTAAAATTATAGGTAAAACCTTATATATAATGGAATTTTTGGCCCATAAAGAAGGAAAAAGTGGTCCATTTTCACAGGGTCCATGAAAAAATTGTTAAGAATCACACCTTACAGAATAGATTAATAAATGCTAGTAATTTGGTTTAATTCTTGCAACGCCTGCTGCATTTGGCCATAGATATATTTTTTGGCTACATTTTTTATTCATCATTTCATTTATAGCCAGGAAGCAATGCACATATATTTCATGTTAGTAGCGAAAATTCCATATATTTTATAATTCTAACCAGTTTTCTTTTTGTTGAACAGATGGGAATAGCACTGTGACCCAGCCTTCAGATTACGGTTGGCAATACAATGAAACTGTAAGCAAATTCCTTCTTATTTTATTAACCATATTCACTTGTATGTCTCTCTGGAATCATGTTATATTTAGAGATTACTTCTGTAAGGCTACCCCACAGATTAATTTTTTCAGGTTAAGAGACAAAGAAGAAAAGAATTTGTTTCTTAAATAGGGGTCCTTTGATTAATTGGTAAAGTTCATTTGGATATAGGTAGACCAGCTTGTTCGAGATGCCTGATAAGTGATGTTTTACTCACACACATACACACAACACTCACACACTATAGACTTTCTCCTGGCCAAAAATTTGAACAAAAAAGAATGAACTAATTCAAGGAGAGTGAGCTAATATAACATTCCCAGGAAGACTTCAGTTAACATTAAGGGGAAAACATGCTTTGAGTCACTGTGCTGGCATGGAGGCTGTTCCAAACAAAAATATTATGTAAGTGAAAGTATGCTTGCTTTGACATATGCCCCCAAATATCCTTTTTCAACCTGAATGCCTTCCATATAGAAATTTTGAGGCCAACGCTGAGATTTTCTCTATCTGAATCTCCCTATAGGATGACTTATTTTTATTATTTTTTAAAAAATATTTTTATTGATTTCAGAGACAAAGGGAGAGGGAGAGAAAGTTAGAAACATCAATGATGAGAGAGAATCATTGTTTGGCTGCTTCCTGCATTCCCCACATGGGGATCAAGTCCACAAACTGGCCATGTGCCCTTCCTGGGAATCAAACCGTGACCTCCTGGTTCATAGGTTGACACTCAACCACTGGGCCATACCGGCCGGGCAGGATGACTTATTAAGATGTGAATATCTCAAACAACTTTGTGATTTTGAAAGATGTACTTCTCCACAGTGATTTTGAAACACGTATAAGGGTCATCCCTAGTCTCATGATGCTCATGAAAGTCTCTCCTTTGCAAATAAGTTAGGCTAAATTATCAATAGAACCTTGTTCTTTTGACTCTCTGATAGAAACCACCTTCCTTTATATGTTTAAATAACTCTTGGAAGCAACTATCAAAAGAGTTTGAGGTCTGAGAACAATCCTCGTCCAAATGGTGAGAAATGACAACCCAGCTGTAATAAAAGAAATTCAAGCTCAGGCAAAGTGGGATTATTTAGGGTCAAATGAGTTTATGTTGTATTGTCTTAGTGACAGTTAGAATACCACATAGGCATAACATGAAAAATGTTAACAACTTATATGCCTAGACTCTGATCTGATAGATGTGGGCTGAATTTGTATATACCTCCTAAATATCAGAACCGCCACTATGGAAATGATTGCTATTTGGCCACACTTATACTGAATTAAAAACACACACATTCTGAACGGTGAACTTGTTCTTGATCTCAGCTACTTGTAGGACAGTTTTGCTTAGCAGCAAGTAGAAGCAATTTGGATGCAAGTTCATAGCAGGTTGTAGCGGAATTATGGACTGTTTGTGCCTTATTTCTGAGGATGTCAGCATGTCTGCTTGGTATCTTGAAAACATGCAACATGTATTTTGACCCAATAAGTAAACTTCTAGGACATATATTAAGGAGAAAATTGAACAAATACATGAAGTTATATGAGAAAAGATGTTCATTGCTGCTATTTATAATCATGAAAATGTTATAAAAGAACCTCAATCCTCAACAGTAAGGGATCAAGTACTTTATTAAGCTCACCTACATATTGCTATTAAGAATGTATCTTGTGTTAACTGACTGAACAATAATTCAAATAGAGTATCCTAGAAAAAACACACTTGGGCTTCTTTGGAGTTTGGCTGGCGGCTCTCAGTATTGCCAAAGGCCCCGACTCACCCTTTCTGTCTTATTTCAGAGCCCTCACATTCTATGCACAGCTCTTTATCTACAGAGGCCTGAAAACACCCTGGGGTTCAATGTTGTGTTTGGGAATTATTTTGCCAAGGCCTTTTGAACACTAGTGTCCCAATGAAGTGCTAAAAACAGTAATACCTTTCAGAAAAAAAATTTCAACTGATACTTTAGAGAGACACACACAGAGAGAAACATCAATCTCTTGTTCCACTCATTTATACATTCATTGTTTGCTTCTTGTATGTGCCCTGACTGGGAACTGAACCCACAACCTTGGTGTATCAGGACAATGCTCTAACCAACTGAGCTACCCAGCCAGGGCCAAAGACCCTATTAAATCAAATAGGCACAGAAACACAGGTTTGGAGAAGCTAAATAATTTGTTGAGGGTCCTATTGAGTAAGTGACTAGGTAAACGAGTCAGGATCCGGACTCCAGAGATTAAACTTTCATGCAGCAAGCAGCTAAATCCTTCTCACTGATCTTCCACTTACTTTCTGTTACAATATCTACCCTGTTGGATCTTTTTAGTATTAGAGCTAAGCTATGAAAAGGGGCCTGGCATGATGCCTGGCATGTTTTAAACTTATTCTAGGAGGGGGATCCTTATGAACTGCACCAGGAGATTTAAGCAAAATTTGCATTTCCACCCAATTGCACATTTTAAGTTCACTGTTAATCAGGGCCTGTCTGGGAGCAGCTGCTCTTAGGCCCATTTATAATGGCATAGATAGAATTTTGGATTTTATTTAATAACATAAGGACTGTATCAAAGACCAAATTCAATAATTGAGCACATTCAGATAGCATCAGATACCACCACCAAGTGAACTTATATGTGAACAAAAATTGTTTTCTTTAATTTAAGGGGATATAGCTTATTGAATTAAAAAAAAAACCAATATGGGTATTTACATATAATAAAGAGCACCCTTTGAACTGTATACTCTGAGCTTTGACAAACACATACAACCATAAAAATCTCACTCTAAGCATATATAAGATATTTCCACATCTCAAAATACATACTGAATTTTAGATTGAGAATTTCACCAGGGTTACAACCTCAGGAGATCATTTGGTTTTGCACGTCATGATCTAGAACAGCGGTTCTCAACCTGTGGGTCGCGACCCCTTTGGGGGTTGAACAACCCTTTCACAGGGGTCACCTAAGACCATTGGAAAACACATATATAATTACATATTGTTTTTGTGATTAATCACTTTGCTTTAATTATGTTTAATTTGTAACAATGAAATTGGGGGGTCACCACAACATGAGGAATTGTATTAAAGGGTCGCGGCATTAGAAAGGTTGAGAACCACTGATCTAGAAAAAGACAAGAGCCAATAAAGACAAATGTGTCTGAGTATGTTATTTTAAGAAATGTTTTCTGCCCATAATTCTAACAAGATGCTTTTTCAATCTGCTTATATTTCCTTAGGACACAATCTTGAAACAAAATACACAGAGGAACACCAGTAAGTTGTACATTGGACTCTGCATTGCTGCCATGATATTGCTCACCATTTTGGCTGCCATACTTACCAAAAGTAAGTCGTTTGACCATTGTGCCTGAGGGAACAAAGTGAGGGTTCTGGAGCCAAACTACCTGGGTCCAAGGAGCTTCACACACCATGTACTTTTGATGTCACATAACTTCCCTGTTTCATAGCCTTGTTCCTTTTGTTTCTTAAAAATATTGGCCTGTAAAGAAAAAAGGAAATTAAGTTCTCCACAGGAGAAATAAAGCACTAAGAAATAAGAGTTTGTTGGGTGGAGCTGGGATTTGGAAGGCAACAAACCACTGTACTAAGCAAATTTGTTCTCTCTTCTTCCTTCCTTGCCCTCAAGACCCCGTTTTTGATCCTATGAAGGATAATATTGTTGAGAGTCTTACAGCACTCACTTAGCGGAAGAGGCAAATGAGACATTGGATGGGAAACAGATTTTAGGCAAGGCTAGACCAGCGGGTTTCAAAAACTAGCCATGCCAGCCTCCATGAAAGAACCACAACCGTCCATTTTTTAAAATCCTATGTAATAAAAGGGTAAAATGCAAAAAGACTGAATGGCAGAACAACCAAACAACTAATCAAAGCGTAATATGCTAATGATATGCTAAGGCTGCTCAACCGCTCACTATGTCATGCACTGATCACCAGGGGGCAGATGTTCTGACTAGTAGGTCAGCTTGCTGCTGGGGTCTGGCTGATCAGGACTGAGCGAGATGGGCTGGACATGCCTTGGAGCCCATCCACCATCCCTCCCTGTGGGGTCCCTCAGCCTGGCCTGCACCCTCTTGCAATCCAGGACCCCTCTGGGGATGTTGGAGAGCTGATTTCAGCCCAATTCTGCAGGCCACTCCCCTTGGGAGGGCGCCAGATGCAGGGTTCATGACTGGTGAGCACTGCTGTGGCAGCGTGAGCCTCTCCCTATCGGGACTGATTGGGTGCGAGCCTGCGGCAGGCATAGCAGGGCCAGGATGAGTGGGAGTGGCAAGTGGGAGTGGCAATTAAGAGCTGCAGGCAGCGTTGGACTTCGGGTTTTGGCCTGATCCCTGCAGGCCACCTAGAGGGACCCCACCTGTGCACGAATTTGAGCACCGGGCCTCTAGTGAAATATAATCATTAATAACTATATTAAAATAAGTTTGGGCATGTGTGTGAATACACTAAACCATTAATAAACATGAGATAGTTAACACACTGGGGCTCCTTTGGGTCCTACAGAGTCAAAAGGAGTTACCTGAAACTATAGGGAAGCGTGTAATCTGAGTTTTGTTTTCCTTTTTAAAAAACCATTCTTCTAGATTTAATTTTTTCAGCACTGTCTCTGTTCAGAATTTGTTCATTTTAGAGTCATTGCAGTCCTGGTGGAGTGACTCGATTGTTTGGAGCATTGTTCTGTACACAAAAGGGTTTCAGTTTCAATTCCTGGTCAGGGCACATACATAGGTTTCAGGTTCTATTTCTGGTCAGGGCGCGTTCAGGAGGCAATCTATTGATTTTTCTCTCTCAGATCAAATTCTCTCTCTCTCTTTCTTTCTCTGTTTATCTTTAAAATGAATAAGAAAATCCCAACATATCCTCAGGTAGGGATTTAAAAAACGAAGTTATAGCAGAAATAATGTACATGTTTTGGAAAGGTCTCATGAATTCTTTGGCTGACGTATTTTATTTTTTCTTTAACTCCTTCCCAATTTAGAATATTTATGTGGGAAAAGAATGGTGTTGCAAATAAGGTAAGCTTGAAAGGTTTGTGTCAATGCTTTTTGATGTTCATACTCTAATAAAATAAAGAAAAAATCCTCTCTGTTCCTCTCCTCTTTCTCCTGAACTCTCCATTTTACACCCTGGATCCTAAAAATTCTAGTTCAATGAGTGCCTCCATCACTGTCCACACCTTCCAATGATATTTTTAGCTTTCTCTATTTCCCTGAAACTACTACGGAAACAGCACCCCAACCCTAAGCTCTCAGAGCAAGAGAACTAAATCACAATAGTGTTTGATGAAATGACATTTGGATGAGTTGTTTGGTTTGTTCTTGATTTCATTCAGTGCTTTGCTTACTGAAAGCCTATTCTATTCCAAAGAGATGAACAAAACAGACACAACACAGAAGCAAGTCACCAGGGTCCTTTTAGTGCTTCCAGGCAGAAAGCATGGGGAATGTAGACCAGGGTAGTGGGCTGTGTGAGTGAGCCTGATGGAGTAGGAGGCCACTGGCAAAGATCTGGAGGAAGACAACTCCAGGCTGAAGCAGTCCCCCACCCCCTGTCGTTCCACCCCAGCATGCTCTGCTGCTTTACATTGCACATCAGGCCTCATTGGCATTTGATTTATAATTTTTATAAATATAACCTATTGTCCAGTTAAAGTTTAAATCTCCTTTACTTTCAGTGGTCATTTAAACAAACAACGGTAATGATATGAAACCACTACATACCACCAATCCCAAGTAGCCTGCTTCTTTTAGTGCAGTTAGGGCTTTAAGTAAGGTCTATCTTTGATTCATCAGCCATCCCTCTGAGGCTGCCATTCATTATTTCTAGTTCTGTTTTGTTGGATGTTATTCTTTCCTATGTCTTAGTTCCATGAGCCAATCCACAGACTTTGCCTTGCACAATAGCCAACACATTGTAAGTGCTCCATAAATGTTGGCTTCTATTATTGCAATCATTCCTGCATAGCAATAAACCTGTGGCATAGGTATTATTATTCTCACTTGGTAGATTGGAAAACAGGTTCACACCACACAGCAGGTAAAAGACTCAATCTGAGGTGTTTTGGAGTCTAGAACCCATATTGTAGAAGGTTTGACTACCTGCTTCTAACAATGGAAGGAAAAAAATACTCCTTATAGGCAGAAAAGCATGATTTCTGTCCTTTCACTGTCAACTTTTTTTTACATCCACCTCTTATCAGTTAATTATTAAAGGAAATATTTATTGTAGAAAATATTGTAAAATATTAAAAAGAAAGGAAAAAAAAAAGAGAGCATTTATGATGACACCTTTGGGGCAGCTCTTTCACACTGACTCATTTTGAGCTGTTGACACCTAAATTGATTCTCACATGTATGCCTGGTTCCTTTAATGATCTGAGTTGAGTGAAGACTCTACATTTCATATCATTTCTGGGCAGGCTCAGGTAATAAAAACCATCACTGTGTACAAATTATATATCAGCAGCTATATCAAAACTCTACACATAACCATTTTATATTCTTGGTGTGTGAGTATGTTATGAAAGTCATCTAATTCATGGCTTTCCCATTCTGACCATAAAAACACAGTAGTATTTTTGACACCATGATCCAGTACATTATTTAGAAGTGATCTGCTTTTCACTTACTCATGTTATTCTTTTTGTAGCAAAGAACCTCAGACCGGAACTTCCCAAAATGGAACTGCAGTGCACTACCAAGCACAGGAAAATATTTACTTTGAGAACAGTCTTTACAACATGCCTGAAGACCCAGCATAACTCCAAGGCTTGAGGTCCTTGACTGCAGAAGGCAATGACCAGATCTCACCATGTCTGTCCTTTTAAGCTCCAGGATGATTTTTATGTCAATATTTCATAGCGTTCCAACATGTCTGTGATGTTAATGTCTTTAGCTCTCACTGCATAGTCAACCTCATTGGTAATTAGTCTTAATTTTTTATACTAAAATTGGCTCAATCTTTCTGGTCATAGCAGAGCCCTCTCCTAAATATGAACTGAACACTTTAGAATTGTTTATTCTGTTTCAACCTTATGAATCCTGTATCCATCAAGACTTCTCATTGGGTTGACATGAAATGAACCAATACCTTGGTCACTAAAACTGTCACAAAGAGGGGAATAGGACTTAAAATCAGCAAATTCGATTTGGAACTTAAATGAATTCACTTGGAAGCATTTCATGATTAACTCTTTTTTTTTTAAATCTTGTAATCAGCCCTAACCGGTTTGGCTCAGTGGATAGAGCGTCGGCCTGCGGACTGAGGGGTCCTGGGTTCGATTCCGGTCAAGGGCATGTACCTGGGTTGCGGGCACATCCCCAGTGCGGGGTGTGCAGGAGGCAACTGGTTGATGTTTCTCTCTCATCGATGTTTCTAACTCTATCCCTCTCCCTTCCTCTCTGTAAAAAATCAATAAAATATAAAAATAAAAAAAATCTTGTAATCAAAACTTTACATTTCTTAAGTTCCCCCAAAGGTTTCAAATTATGGAGGCACACAGATTTTTATTTCCTTCATGGGGAATAAAGTCAGTGTGATTTCACCATTAGATCTGTTTGTTCATCGCTCTGAAAATATGAGGTTTTAAGTACTTTCCTTGGGGCCAAGCTGGGGCTTTTAAGAGAAGAAGCTAGGATGGTGAGTGGAGCAAGTAAATAGGTGGAGAAAATCAATGGCCATTTGATTTAATACATGTGTGCTACTTCTGCTACATCTGTGCCACATATAGACAACCATCAGGGATTCACTAACTTTTTTTAGAGTGATGCAGTACAGAGATAAATAAAAGGGCAAAAGAAAGGGAGAGGTTAGGGCAAAAGGCCTCTGCCTTAGAAAAGTAAGTGCAAATCTAATAGTGCTGTTTGAGAGTGTTACTAGTTTCAACTGGAATTCTAAATTGTCCCCAAACCACTTTGATTATTAAAATTATTTTAGAAGGATGAATTTTTTTATATCATTAATTCCAATGCTGTTCCTTTTCCACAAATGAATTAAATTTTTGGTTTTGCCAAGATAGTTAAACAACACAAAAAAGGTAAGAATATTTTTAGCCACCAGAAACATTTTCTTCCTTCATATCAGAAACATTTCGACATGAATAGTTCACAAGGCTGGGCAGTAATTTCAATTTGAAATAATTCACACTTGAGGTTTAGTGCTACCCACACTGTAGTGGCCTAGAAGGCCAGAGTGCTTGTTTTTGAAGGCAAAGTTTTGGCATGTAGCTATAAAACTCTAGAAGGTTAATAACACCTCTGAAAAAAAGGTTATAGGGGCAAATAATATTGTTGAGCATTGTCTACTGGGTTTCCCAAATAGGGTGAGATTAATATGGGTTATACATTTTTGTTCAAACCACAGCGTTTTTCTTTTAAATTCAAGACAACATGCAGGAGGCAGCTGATGTGTGTTGCACATTGATGTTTCTCTCTTCTCCCTCTCTCTCTTTAAAAATCAATAAACTATTCTTATAAATAAATAAATAAACAAACAAACAAACAATCAAGCTCATGTGGCTGCAGCAAAGTGAATGAGGAGGTTTGGAAAGAGATTAGCTGGAGACATGGGCACTTTCTCACAGGGGCTGGATGCAAAGGGCCCTATGAACACATCTGTTTGAGAAGGGTCCCACTCTTAGGAACAAAACACTTTTCATGTAAAGGGTTAAACATTCTATGCACCACCAAATTATACTTTCATTTGTTAACATGCTATCTGGAAGTAAAGAAATAATTTGTCTTTTGCTCTCCCCCTAATCAAAGGCTTTGGTCAGTTGGTTTTGGACAGCTTTGAGCAGTCTGGAGATACACATCCTCCCAAGACTATCTCTTCTTTGACTCTTGATTACATCAGTTTTTCTGAGAAAATAGAAAAAAGTCATGACTTCATCTAGAGAAAAGGTAATGGTAGCCATCAAAATGTAAGGTGGTGCCTTAATGGCCTTGACTACGAAATGTCAGTGTGGTGTATCTGGGACTTAGAATACCTGGGAATCTAATTGTAAACTTCCCTTAGGGCAGCAGTTCTCAACCTGTGGGTCGCGACCCCTTTGGCGGTCGAACGACCCTTTCACAGGGGTCGCCTAAGACCATCCTGCATAGCAGATATTTACATTACGATTCCTAACAGTAGCAACATTACAGTTATGAAGTAGCAACGAAAATAATTTTATGGTTGGGTCACAACATGAGGAATTGTATTTAAAGGGCCAGAAGGTTGAGAACCACTGCCTTAGGGCCTTTGGAGCTCTGACTTCAGTGTGTAGTGGCTATTGGTGTCTTTACCCAATGTCCCCTGAGCCCTTTGTCACCCTAGCCTCCAGTGTACTAGTAATTTAAAAAACCAAGATCTGCTCTGCTGGTATGGCTCACTGGTTGAGCATTGACCTATGAACCAGGAGGTCATGGTTCTATTCCTGGTGAGGGCACAAGCCTGAGTTTGTGAGCTCGATCCCCAGTGTGGGGCATGCAGGAGGCCGCTGATCAATGATTCTCATCATTGATATTTTTTCTCTCTCTCTGTCCCTTTCCCCCTCTCCTCTGAAATAAATAAAAATATATTTAAAAGTAATAAAAAGCCAAGATCTGATTGTGTTCCATATTAGCTGAAAATTCTCCCACTGCTTGCCAGTGGGTAAAAGACCTTAGTCCGTAGTAAGCTCCTCACCACTTTCCCCTTGCCTGCTTCATGCAACCCCTCCCAGATGTACTCTAGTGGAGAGAAACTCCTCAAATGTCCACTCTCACTCTGAAGCTCAACCCATCTTTGGGGAAAGCTTGTCTCCTGTATTTTCACTGGGCATATATTTAAGGTTCATTCGAAATGTCACCTCTTAAGCCCTGCTGGACCTCATCCCTCTAGCCAGAATTAATCTTCTCTTGTGAACACTTCTGTGGAGCCTTTTTTAGCCACTAGACAAATATGCCAGGCATGGTGCTATTGCCTAGCTTGGGTCATTCTGCATGAGGCCAGGGCCCTACCTAGCATGTGGAGCACATCTGGGTGAATTATAGACACACACCCCTTTTTCTGGCTGGCACAGCCCCTGAGCCAGGGCAAAGGCTTGTCAAATGGAGTCTGTCCAAACTACTAGTACAAGCATAAATAGTGACTATAGTGACCCTATAACTTAGTGCTTTAATTAGAGATGTGTAGGTTGAGAACGCTTTGTATATTGAGCTCTTTGAGGGAAGTGTATTCAGTTTCTCAGCACCCAGCTTACACATAGCAGGTGCTTAGTACATACCTATGAAAATTGGGGAATACATTGAAAGAATGTTTCCTAGAACCTCCCTGTGTGTGCTGGGGAAGAGGAGGCAGGGGAAGACCTATATTTCTTTAAAACTTTTTATGAGATAGAAACCACTCTCTTCTGGAGTCTGCGTGAACCTCAAGGATTCTCTGAGACCCGTGCTTTGCAACCTTGGCTGTACATTAGAATCACCTGGGAAGCGTGGCCAACTACGCATGCCCAGACCAAGTCAATAAGAATCTCAGCTGGGGGGCCAGAGAGTCTTTCTTTTTTTCTTTTTTTTTAAAAAAATCTTCCAAGGTGATTTCAATGTGTAGCTGAGGCTGAGAACCATTGACCTGGAAGGACTTGGCAAGGGAAGGTGAGAACTTGCGCTCTTGTTCTGTGTGAAGAGAGCTCTGCAAAACATAAAAGGTACAGACTAAAACAATATCGACAGCGGGCTGGGACAGGTGGGCAGACGCTGGGTGATAGATCTTTCCTGTGTCTGGCTTGCATGGCAACAGCATTATTGGTGGCAGCCCTGGGAAGGAAAACATGGAGGCTGCCACGTGTTTGAAAGCTCAGGAAGCCAGCCCGCAGCTGTCTAGCTGACTGTCCCTGGGCTTCCTGAGGGCTAAACGTTTTCTTCCACAAGTTGTAAAAATAAGCAAAGAAAAAGTCCCTTTGGCCTGTGAGGGTTTGCTCTAAGGTAACCTTTTTTGTCTTATACTGTGGACTGCTGAGATGGGGTTTGCTCTGTCTGGCAAATGCTGAATCTGCTGAGCCTAAAACAGTACGTACTTGGAGGATGACTGATGCACACATTTCTCAATGAACTTAATTTTTTAGAGCAGTTTAAAGCTCACCAACAAAGTTGAGTAGAAAATACAGATTTTCCCAAGTAACTCAGCATGCTCATCATTAACACCTTTCCCAAGTGGGGTACATTTGGTACAGTTGTGAATCTCTTCTAAGAAAACATTGTTTATATATTTATTGATTGATTGATTTAGGATTAAGAGCCACTTTATTCTTTTTTGGTTCATTTTCTTTATTTTTTATTTTTCAACTACTGTTTACCTTTGATATTATCTTGTGCTGGTTTCAGGTGTACAGCATAGTGGTTAGACAATCATATACTTTAAAAAGTGTTCCCCCAATACTTACCTGGCACTTTACATGGTTATTACAATATTATTGACTGGATATTCATATATGCTATACTTTACATCCACATGACTATTTTATAACTACCAATTTTTTAAAAAACCAATTTGTACTTCTTAATCCCTTCATCTCTTTCACCCAGTTTACCACTCCCTTCTTCCTCTGGCAACCAGCAGTCCTCTCTTTGCATCTATGAGTCTGTTTCAATTTTGTTTGCTTGTTCATTTTGGAGAACTTTTTGTTAGATAATCAGGGAATTTTATATGAACTGCAAGAATTAGGTGCAATTGGATAGTACAAGATGAAGATACAAGGAGGGGCATCGTAATGTTTGCAGTAATTTTTTTAAAGGTCAGAAGTCACTGCAGGCCTGCACTCAATTCTAGAACTCTTCCTGGCAGGCAGAAAGGACTTCTTAGAGAGAGAACAGTAAACTCGGTCCTGTCAGGGGCAGGAAGTTGGCAGAGTGACCCTAGCAAATGCCCAGCGAGAGAGCCCTGGCCAGAATGTTAGCTGAATTTTTGTTCCTTTTTAGCAGCTTTATTGAAAGATAATTCACATACCACATTCTGTTTCCTAAATATCAGCCCTGAATCCATGGTTATTTGACTCCGCCTTACACTTGAATATGGGCATTTGCTGGATGTTATTAGTTATGTGGGCAGACATATCAAGGGCAAATACCAAGTTCGTGAAACATGGTTTATAGTGGAACAATCTGGAGCTTAGGAACTTGTGTTCTCATTTGAAATTACCAATCCTGTGCCTTTGGGCAAATCAAGCTTCTCAGGTCTCAGTTTCTCTGTCTATAAAATGAAGAGGTTGA